TTGGGAATAGGGGATAGCATTTTTGCAGGAAGGTGGGTGGGAGGAGGAGTATTCTAGGTAGCTGTGGGAGTCGGTGGGCTTGAAATGAATATCGGTTTCTAGGTAGTTGCCTGATATGGAGACAGAGAGGTCCAGGAAGGGGAGAGAGGTATTAGAGATGGTCCAGGTAAACTTAAGGTTGGGGTGGAAGGTGTTGATGAAGTGGATGAACTGTTCGAGCTCCTCATGGGTGCACAAGGTGGCGCCGATACAGTCATCAATGTAACGGAGGAAAAGGTGGGGTTTAGGGGTTTAGCCTTTCTGCTCCTATGATGCTGCTTGGCCTGCTGTGTTCATCCAGCCCTGCACCTTGTTGTCTCACTTTAGATCCTTCCAGTTTTTAATACCTGGAGAAACTCTGAGTATCTGTTGTGTTTCTTGTATTCTTAATACACCCTCCTCATTGAACTTTTATTATTCTTTGTTGTTCTCTATATTTTGTCTAGCCATCTAACTTGCCATTCATCTTTGCGGGATTGTTCACCCTTTCTTTCAATTTGGTATTATCTTTGGTTTCATTCGTTAGCCAGATCCATAAGACAATAAGGCCATAATGTACAGAAGCAGAATTAGGCCATTCGGCCCTTTGAGCCTGCTTTTTCATTTGATCGTGGCTGATAGTTTCTCAACCACGTTCTCCTGCCTTCTTCCCATAACCCTGTCCTGGGAGTGTTTGATGGGGGACAGTGTGAAACTTTACTCTGTATCTAACCCTGTGCTTTCCCTGTCCTGGGAGTGTTTGATGGGGGGGACACTGTAGAGGGAGATTTACTCTGTATCTAACCTTGTGCTGTCCTTGTCCTGGGAGTGTTTGATGGTTGTGTACTTAGAGGGAGTTTAATTGTGTGTTCGATGTGTAAGAGAGTTATGGATTATTAATTGAATCAATTAAATAGTCCTAGAACAAAATCTTTCTCGGATGAACAGGAACACATCAGGATGTAACCACAAGGAAATAAGTGATTGTGGTGACCTTGTCCATGTCACAGCAAAGTATAACACTATTGGCTACAGTATCTAAGTTTTGGGAAATAATAACTAACTTTTGGGGCCAATGAATAAAACTATTCTTCAAAGAATAGTTCACAACATTTTGTTTAAAGAAACTAGTTTTGAGGTAAACCCCTTTCACGCTGGGCTGTTTTCAAAGGGTGCTAAAATGGATACACATTGGGCTTTTTGTTACATCTTCCTTTGATGTCAGCTATCAAAGCTGTCTGTTAGCCCTGCAAGTGTTTGGGGCAGGGCTTTCATCACGTAGCTGGGGAGCTACAGATATAAAGAATCTCTCCTTCAATGTGCAGTATATTAATCAAATCTGTTCCTTACTCTCACGGCACTGGCAAGAGTCAGTATCCTATACATGTTGTTGTGAACCTTTGGAGGAGTGGACTTTACCAGCGTTTGATTCTCTGAGGGGTGAGATGTACTGGAAGTGGGCTGTGTTTCTTGATGAACTGAGCCAGTGATGGTTGTGGAAGGTATTCAGTGGGTAAGGACAGCGCTCAGTGTGGGATTGAAAAACTTTGATCTCCAGGCCAATGTATGTATGAGATGAGGTTACTAACTGTGAACAGCAAGGGACCTCGGGGTCCAATCCATCATCAGCCAAGTTTCTTGCTATGGATCATTATCCAGTAATTCCTGCTGGAGAAAGGGGGAGGTTGGGGGAAGGCTCCACATCAGCTGTGATCTCCCTACAGCTAATTAGTGCCAAGTAATCTTTGTATCCAGGTGTGGAGCTGGATGAACACAGCAGGCCAGGCAGCATCAGAGGAGCAGGAAAGCTAGACCCTTCTTCAGAAATGGGGGAGGGGAAGGGGGCTTTGAAATAAATAGAGAGAGGGGGAGGCGATGATAGAAGGTGGATAGAGGAGCAGATAGGTGGAGAGAAGACGGACAGGTCAAGGAGGCAGGGATGAAGCTAGTACAGGTGAGTGTAGGTAGGAAGTGGGGGTTGGTCAGTGAGGTGGGAGGAGCAGATAGATGGGAGAGAAGACGGGCAGGTCAAGGAGGCGGGGACGAGAGGGGGACTGGTCTTGGGATGAGGTCGGGGGTGGGGAGATCTTGAAGCTTGTAAAGTCCACATTGAGACCATTGGGTTGTAGGCTCCCAAGGCGGAATATGAAGTGCTGTTCCTCCAGTTTTCGGGTGGCATCATTGTCACACTAGAGGAGGCCCAGGATGGACATGTCGTCCAGGGAGTGGGAGGGGGAGTTGAAGTGGTTCGCAAGTGGGAGGTGTTGTCGTCTGTTGTGAACCTAGCGTAGATGCTTCACAAAGCGGTCTCCGAGCCTCCGCTTGGTCTCCCCGATGTAGAGGAGGCCACATCGGGAACAGCGGACGCAACAGACCACATTAGCAGATGTGCAGGTGAACATCTGTTTAATGTGGAAGGTTTTTTTGGGGCCTGGGATGGAGGTGAGGGGGGAAGTGTAGGGGCAGGTGTAGCACCTCCTGCGGTTGCAGGGAAAGGTGCCGGGGCTGGTGGGGCTAGTGGGGTGTGTGGAGCGGACGAGGGAGTCACGGAGAGAGCGGTCCCTACAGAAGGCAGATAAGGGTGGGGAGGGAAATATATCCTTGGTAGTAGGGTCAGATTGCAGGTGGCGAAAGTGGTGGAGAATGATGCGTTGAATCTGGAGGTTGGTGAAGTGATATGTGAGGACAAGGGGAATTCTATCTTTGTTTTTATTGCGGGGAAGGAGTGTGAGGGCTGAAGTGCGGGAAACGCAAGAGATGTGGTCAAGGGCGTTTTCGACCATGAGGGGGGGATATTGCGGTCCTTGAGAAACGAGGACATCTGGGATGTCTGGGAGTGGAACGCCTCATCTTGGGAGCAGATGTGGCAGAGGAATTTCACCCCTCTCGTCCCCGCCTGCTTGACCTGTCCGTCTTCTCTCCCACCTTCCCGGCCCTCCCTCCTCACTGACCAACCCCCATCCCAACTCCCTACCTACACTCACCTGTACTAGCTTCATCCCTGCCTCCTTGACCTGTCAGTCTTCTCTCCACCTATCTGCTCCTCTATCACCTTCTGTCACCGCCTTCCCCTCTCTCTATTTATTTCAAAGCCCCCTTCCCCTCCCCCATTTCTGAAGAAGGGTCCAGACCCGAAACATCAGCTTTCCTTCTCCTGTGATGCTGCCTGGCCTGCTGTGTTCATCCAGCTCCATGCCTTGTTATCTCAGACTCCAGCATCGGCAGTTCCTACTATCCCTGAGTCTTTGTACCTAGCCTGTTCAATTCAGAGTGACCTGGTAGTAAAGTACTGGGGCCTTTGAAACCGGAAGTCACCAGTTCAGGAGAGTACCCAGCAGCTTGTGTTTAAATTGGGACCATCTTTTGGATGAGACTTTAAAATGAGGACTCCTCTGCCCCCTCAGGTGAGTGTAAAAGATCCCATAGCCACTATCTCAAAGAACTTGGAAGTTCTCCCCATCTCCAGTGTTATATCTCACTGGAGGAGTGTGCTGGAAAGAAAGCCCCAGTACTCATGGAGTCGTCACAAAAGTTAAACATTCTATAAAAGTATGCAAAGATTCCCCAGCGTACCTGTCTTTTAAATGCAGGTTGACAGAAAGCAAGGACTGGGTTTCTGTGAATAATGAGAATCACTGTTTACTACAAATCAATAGATTCTAGCTGCAGATAAATCGTAATGAACCAATGACATATAACTACTAGCTATAAGGACAATTTTTTTTAAATTTTGTGTTTTTAAAATCCAGGGGCTGAAAAGAGAAAGAGTTGCACTATAGAGTCATTGACCACAGAAACAAACTTCGGTCCAACTTGTCTGCGCCAACCAAACATCCCAATCTGACCTAGTCCCATTTGGCCCATATCCCTCTAAACCCTTCCTATTCATAATATCCATCTAGATGCCTTTTGAATGTTGTAATTGTACCTGCCTCACCACTTCCTCATGCAGCTCATTCCATACACACACCACCCTCTGCATGAGAAGGTTACTCGTCAGGTCCTTTTTGAATCTTTCCCCTCTCACTTTAAACCTATGCCCTCTAGTTTTAGACTCCCTCACCCTAGGAAAAAGACCGTGGTTATTCAGCCTATCAATGCCCCTCACGATTTTATAGACCTCTTAACAATCACCCCTCAGCCTCCGACATATTAAAGCCAGTGCTTGAAAGAGGGGCTGTATATTTTGTAAGCAAGTAACTTGACCCCCATTGCAGGCTTCGTGTAAACAACTGTTTGAATGAGCAGTAATTGAGATTTAAGTTGCTGATGATTTGGAACCACAAGCATGTGTTGTGCAGCCTTTTCTGGCAGCAAAAAGTTGATTGCTGTATGGACTAGTGACCAGTTGTCAATGACAGAAACTTTTTTGCCTGTTAACAAATAGTTCTGTAGTAACTGAGCAGCTTGGAGCTGGGGACAAGTTACAGAGTGAGAGAAGTGTTCAGTTCTTCTCCATCACGGGAGCAGTCTGTCTGTTCTCTGCAGTCAAAACACACTAAACCTGAAGAAAACCAGTTTATCTTTCTGTCAACAGTTGTTTCAAGCTGTGACTTTTAACTGATATGTCAGAGACAATTTATGGGTGAACCCAACCACCTTATTGTCTTATCAACTAATGGAAGCATCCAGAGAAAGATGGTTAAAGCAACATGTTGACCAGCAGAATGGTCATAGGAGTCATTCGATAAGGAACATTTTATCAAATGTGGCATCAAGGAGCTGGTACAGAACAATTGTCAATGGGAATTAGGGGGAAATCTCCTCACTGATTGGAATCATACCTGGCATAAAGGAAATGGTTGTGACCTTTGGAAATCAGTCATCTCGGTATCATGACCCACTTGGGAAAGTGCATGGATGTTCAAGCACTGCTATTCCTGGGATTGTCACAAAAATTAAATGTTGAATCAAACTATTGAAGTTCCCAAGATACCTGTATGGTGGACTTAGGTTAACAGAAAACATTGACCAAGGTTTTGTGTTTAGCATGAACTATTGTTTATCACAAATAAATCATTCTGACCACAGGAAAACAAAGACATGAATTATCAACCGATAACTCTAATAGATTAAACTCTGCCCCCCTCCTAAACTGCTACACACATGTGCAGACCTTTGCAAACAAATAAGCATGGATGTTACAAGATGGAGTAAAAGGTACTAGGGAAATACAGTTCAATAGCACCAATCCCTTTGTTTCTCCCAAGTTCCTGCTGAGCGCCAATCTTCTTATTTCCAGATTCTTACAATTCTTTGCTGAAGCAGAGCAATTGACATATTAATTATTTTTCATTCACTAGTTAGATGCAACAGATTATAGCAACTGATGGAAGAGATTAGCAATATTTCCATTTTTGGTTACTTTGCATCTTAGATGGAGGCTTTTGCCTCTAATGTTCACGTACAATCTGTCTGCCTGCCCAGGAACTAATCGGAGAGTTGTTGTCATGCTGATGACTGTGGCCTGTATAGTTGGTCCTGCTTTCACAAGCCAAACAGCAGTTTGTCTCTGGGTAAAGCTTGCTCTGCAGACTCCCACAGTGCCAGGGTTTCTTAGACATCTTCCCCTACTGCTTGAACAAAACAACAATTTAAACACAACTCCCAATGAGTTCCAGTAACTTGTTTTTAAAAGTGTAGCAACTCCTTCCACAGTCTTCGATGTAAAGCAACCCATTTTCACATTTTGATCCACAATCCAAAATTTAAAAGTTTTTTAAAAAAATGTGGTACTGAAGCAGCCTGTGTTAAAGGCACTAAGATGTGGGCAGCATTCAAGCTTGGGCTCATATGTGGTATGTAACATGTGTGCTACACAGGGCAATCTCCAGCAAGGAAAGGATCTGACAATTGTTCCTTGGCAACTCCATGGCTGAAACGCCTGTTATCAACATGAGGATTGTCATTGAGCAGAAACTAAACTGCACCAGTCATATAAAACTGGCCTTTTTTAGGAAGAGGGCTCCAGAATTTCCACTCCCCTTTGTATGAAGAACTGCTTTCTCATATCACCCTCAATGGTCTGGCCTTAACTTTAAGATACTGTCTCTTTGTTATTGATCCCACCACCCCAACCCAGGGAGGTAACTATTGCTTTGTTTTTACTCTGTCAAATCTTATCCCTAGAGACTGTCCACATTGAGCAGTGAGCAAACATGTTCAAACTAAACTCGGCTCCAGTCACATTTCAAAATAAATTGATGCTTCGATCTGCCACATTGAGTTCATAATGTCAGTTTGACAAGGCGGTATTCCAGGGGTAACTGAGCCACTTACTCCTCGGGATCTTGTTTCAACGCTGCATGCTGGCTCAATGTAAATCTGGTGTAATGAACTGCAACTGAAAACCTGATTTGAGCTGCATCATAAAATATAAAAAGAGTGAAGATTAATTCCTTTTATCTCTGATTGCTTGGCCTGAACAGCTTTCCTGGAAATTAACTATGCTGTACTGTCAGTGTAGTGGTGCTTTGTGTTTGACAGGCTTCTCTGTCCTTTTTGTGTCTAACAGGTTTTGTGAGTGATTCGTTTTTCTTCACACGTGATGTTAGACAGCAAGCATCTCAGCTGAACCTGGAAGCACATATGAAGGCAGACACACGCACACTAACCCTCGCATTCACTGTAAGCACACTGAGGGGTCATAAGGTTGTAAGCCTCAAAACATTTTCCTGCTAATTTTGAGACTTCAAACTTGTGAACCTGTTGCTGAGAACTGTGTGTGTTGTGGGAGGCGGTATTGGAGAAGACCTTAGAGAGCAGTAGGATGGGTCAGCTATTGTTGCCTCGGAACTCACGTTCGCACAATATTCATTTGTGATCCCACGTGGGGTATTGGCTCCCGCATTGGGAAGCCCTGTTGTAAAAGGTGTTGTAGAACTAAGTAATTTTTTTTATTTTTCTTTGTTCAATTATCAACCAGAACTGGCAGAGTGATTTAGAGGACACTGGGCCTGTGGTGCCAGTGCTAACTCTTTGAAAGAGCTGCCAATTAATCGTACTGCTCCTGCTCATTCCCCATAGCCCTGTAAAGTATTTCTCCCTTGTGTTTGCTGATGATACAAAGTGAAAGTGTACACCTTGGCTGTGCTACAAAGAGTTAGAGACAAGTTAAGTGAAGGTGCAGGAAGGTGGCAGCTGGAGAATAAGGTGGGAACATTGGATTTAAGAACAGAAAAGTAGAATATGTTTTAGAAAAGTTTCACACCTCTTAAGCATTGGTGTTCAGAGAGACTTGGGTTTACTTGTACAAGGAACTCAAAAATTAGTATGCAGGTCCATCAAGCAATTAGGCCAGTGTTCATTCCCCATTCCTGGTTGCCCCTTGAGAAAATGGTGGTGAGTCACCTTCTTGAACCACTCCAGTCCGTACGGGAAAGATATTTGGGAGGGAGTTCCAGGATTTGATCCAGGTATACTGAAGAAACAGTGTAATATTTCCAAGTCAGGATGGTGTGTGGCTTTGACAGGAACTTACAGGTGCTGGTGTTCCCCTTGGCCTTCTGGGTGGTAAATGTTGTGGATTTAGAAAATGCTGGCAAAGGAGCCTTTGTGAGTTGCTGCAATACATCTTGTGCATGGCACAATCTCCCTCTGAATTTTGTGCATGTCAGTCTGCTTTGCATACTGATTAACTTTCTCGCTGTACAGAAGTTCCTGTGATCCTGAAATGGTTGACACTAGAAACGCGGCACCCTGGTCACTGTCAAAGGCTGTAGGAAGCTGTCTGGACGAACTTCTCTCTATGATGTCCTTCAGCCGGGTCTACTGTCACTATGGAGACACTGCAAGGATGCCAAGAGGTAGGTGTCTGGGAATTACAGATGGTCCTTGTGGCATCAGATCTGCCAGGATGAGGGTGCACCCTCTGAAACATTGGAGCTGTGACATGTCAAGGAATGGATGGTTTATTGGGAGATTGGGGAGTGTGGGGAAGTTGTGGTGATTGGGCTGAGTGTCATCGCAGGCACGATCGGAAATGGAGCAGAGCGTTGCACCAGATGATGAGCACCATATCCTGGTGACTGGATGCTGAGCTTTAGCAACCAGACCTGGAGGACAACTTGATAACGGGCAAACCATAACATCACAAACAAAAACGCTTCTCCAGTCACAAGCCACTCACTTTCTGATTGCCATAATTTTTCCAAAAATTAAAATTCCTTGAACAAAATGTGTTAGATTGTTCTGGTACAAACTCCTTCATTTGCAATAAATTTATACAAACATTCATAATTGGAGCAAAAATATACCATTCTGCCCCTCAAACATGCTCTGTCATTCAATAAGATCATGGCAGATCTGTGTGTGTTCTGAATTCCATATTCCTGTCTAACCCCCTTGATTCTCCTGCTTAACCTAACCACGTCCATCTTAAAAACAAAATCAGTGACTGACCTCCATTGCCTTCTGAGGCACAGAGTTCCAAAGTCACACAACCCTCTGAGAAAAAATGTAAAGGAGTGACCTCTGATTTTAAATAGTATCTCTTAGTTCTGGACTCTTACAAGAGGAAGCGTCCTTTACATATCCACCTTGTTGAGAATCTTAAGGATTTTATAAACTCAATTAAGTCATCTCTCACGCTTCTAAACTCCAGTGGAAATAAACCCAGGCTGACCAACTGTTCCTCCCAAGAAAACCCACTCATTCTGGGTGTCAATCTGGCAAACCTCCTCTGAACTGCCTCCAACCCATTTATATCCTGCCTTAAATAAGGAAACCAAAACTACATGAAGTATTTAAGAAGTGCTTTCACCAGTGCTCTGTGTATTGCAGCATTCCCCATATAGGTTAGGCTTGTGTTGTCACTCCCTGGTCTCAGTTTTTAAAATTTCTGCATGGCATGTGGGTGTCACTGCCTGGACCAGCATTTACTGCCCATCCCTAAATCGCTCTTGAGGAGGCGGTGATGAGCTGCCATCTTGAATAGAACGTGTTCAGCCATTTTAGGGGGCTGTTAAAAGTAAACCACATTGCTGAGAATTTCCAGTTTGAGTAAGGATAGCAGCTTTCTTTCCTTGAATGGCATGAATAAAGCAGATGGGTTTTCACAACAATCCAATGGTCACCATTACTGAGATTCACTTCTAATTCCAGACTTATCTCAATAAAGACAATTCAAATGCTTCAGCTGCCTCAGTGAGATTTCAACTCCTGTCTCTTGATCACTAGGCCAGATCCCTGGACCTTTAATCCAGTAACATAACTACTAGGCATTACTCAATACATTCACTCATGTAAATAAAAGCAAAATACAACAGATGCTGGGCCTGGAAATAAAAACAAAATGCTGGAGAAACTCAGCAGGTCTGATATCACCTGTGGAGAGAGAAACAGAATAAACATTTTTGAGTCTCTTACTCTTCTTGAGCATCTGTTAAGATGATGAAGATGGCTCAGTGTTAGTGCTGTACCCTCCAAATCAGAACTTTTAAAAGACTTTGTGTTTTTGAATTGAATATTTATTTGCGGGTTTCCTGATCACGGTTTTGGTGGTTTTGCTGCAGGTTCTGGATTGTGGCCTCTCCAGTAGAGTTTTGAGACACCATTCAGGAGCTATTTCACATCCTTCTGATCCCACCTCCTTTTCTCTGTGGAAGTGAAAGAATGAGGCAGTCTGCTGGCAACAGGAACTGGACACTTTTAAAGGTTTTTTCTGACCTAGGAAAGTTGTTCAAGACCGCTCACTCTCAGCCGTTTTTGCCACCGAAGGTGAAGTTGGTCGAGAATGAATGATCAGATCAAACTGGCATCCTGTGGTGCCTGGAATGTGTCCTCCAGCACTGGCACAGCTGCTGGACAGCCCCGAAGTCTCGAGACTGAGAGGCGCCAATTGCAAGAACAGGAGGAGCCCGGGCCCTTTCTCAGCGACACTTGGAAATGCCCCCCTGAGGAACTGGGCCACGGTGTCCAAGGGCTGGAAATGTCGATAGTACCACGACCCCCTGTGAGGCCCAAGCCATGCCGGCACAGTAAGCAACGGCACCTGCGCTCAGTGGAAGGGAGAGCTGCTGGCCGCATACTGAGGAGCAGGAGCAGTGAGGAGAGCTCCTCAGAGCCTGTTGACACAGACTCCTCCTGTGGGTCCCTGTACGGTGCTGATCTCTCAGGCTCCCCCATGCAGTGTCTCCAGGGCAAGTCAGTGGTAACTCCTCAGAGGCCCCTGCCCAGTAGCAGCAGCAGTAGTAGTAGTAGTTTGCGGGAGTGCGACACCAGTGAGTCAGCCGGGAGTACAACAGAATATCATAATGGACCAGTCCACACAGACTCCCAGGCCAGGAGTAATCACCCTGATATTAAAACAGTATCCTCAGCCAATCGGAAGCTGCCTCCTGTGGCACCCACCAAACCCCTCCCTCCAATGGTCATTAACCTGGACTCACCAGTACTAAGGACCAGTAATCGGATTGACCAGGATTATGTGGATTACATGCATGTGACTCAGTCAGTATCGAGCCAGCACAGCAATCTCCCCAACCTGAACGAAGGAACTGAGGATAACGGATCCTCATTCTTCATGAATTCTCCCAGCAGTGTCTTGTTTCCTGTCCGTTCAGAGGATCTTCGGAAAAGGTAAGGCAACAGTTGAAAATTAAAATGTTAAAATCCTCTTAGCTGTGAAGTGTCTGCAGGATCTAGTGTCAGCCTCAGCTCAGTGAGTGGCTGTCTCTCAGCCTCTGAATCAATAGCCCATGGATTCATATTCCCACACAGACACTGTGTGGTGCTGATGAAGCACTGCCTGAGGGGCTGTTACCCTGCTTTTGCTTGTCTCAGTCGATCAGGGAATGCTCACTATCAAAGCTATAGGCCTTGTGCTGCTGATCTCTATGAGCCTGTATTCTGGGTCACTGTCTATTCTTTGATCCCGTTGCCACTCTAGTGAGATGCTTAAATTGACAAGTTCAGAAGATGGACCATTCCCACGCTACAGGGCACAAAGCTGAAAGATCAGGTGCGGAATGCCAAATTTATTTTCTCTCCACTTGCAGAATGACAGGAAGAGGTGGAGCCAGCCTGCTCCAGATTTCTGGGCAGAGAGATGCCTTGTGGGGGATCTAGTGTAGTCAAAAGGACAAGAGTGAAGAAAGCCATTGGTGAGACTGAATCTGGAGTACTGTGTACAGTTTTGATCTCCTCATTTGAAGAAAGATTTCATTGAATTTGGAACAGTTCAGAGGCAGTTCCACTCAAATACTTCCTGGGATGGGGGTTAGCTTATGAAGAAAGTTAAAACAGGTTAGGCCTTTCTCCATTAAAGAATGAGGGGTAATCTTAGTAAAACGTATAAGGTCTTGAGGGGGCTAGACAGGGTGGATACTTGGATGATAGTTCCACTTATTAGGAAGACTAGGGCACAGAGTTGGAGAATAAGAAGTCACCCAATTAAGACTGAGATGAGGAGAATCTTTTCACTCAAAGTGTCAAGAGTCTGTGGAATTCACTCTCCCAGAGAGCAACAGGGGCTGCATCATAGAGTTTTATTCAAGGCTGAGTCAGACAGATTTTACGTTGATATGGGAGGCAGCCGTGCAAGTGGACTTAAGATCACAACCAGATCAGCCATGCCTGTATTGAATGGCAGCACAGGTTGGAGGCTGTAAGTAATTTATTCCTGCTGCTAAGTGTGATGTTTTTACGTGAAGGATAGAGGAATAGCAGCTGTGGAAAGCAAGAGAGGCTGAAACAGTGAGACAGAAGCTGAGTAATCATGGCCCCATGTCATGACTTTGGGACATTCCTGTGTCTCTACAGGAGTTATCTGGAGGGCAGTCTCCTGGCCAGTGGAGCTCTGCTGGGAGCCAGTGAATTGGATCGTTATTTCCCTGACCGAAGAGTGCGAGTGTTTATCACCACCTGGAATATGCAAGGCGAGAAGGTGAGTCACAGAAACGGTTGATTGAATTTTTTGAGGACTTGACCAAGAAGATAGATGAGGGAAGAGTGGTAGACTTTGTCTTCATAGACTTTAGCAAAGCCTTTGACAAGATTCCACATGGCAGACTGGTTAGTAAAGTTAGATCACATGGGATTCAGGGAGAGTTTGCCAGTTAGCTACAAAATTGGCTTGATGGTAGGAGACAGAGGGTGGTGGTGGACGGTTGTCTTTTGGACTGGAGGCCTGTGATCATTGGTGTTCCACAGGCATTGGTACTGGGTCCACTTATTGTTTGTAATTTATATAAACTATTTAGATGAGAATGTAGGAAGCATGGTTAATAAGTTTGCAGATGATACCAAATTGGTGGTATAGTCAACAATGAAGACGGTTATCTAAGATTACAAAGGATTTTTGATCAATTGGACCAATGGGCCCCGGGTTGGTAGATGGAGTTTAATTTGGATAAATGTGAGGTGTTGCATTTTGGTAAGACGAACAAGGGCAGGACTTGTATAGTTAATGGTAGTGTCCTGGGCAGTGTTGTCGAACAGAGGGACCTAATGGTTCAGGTACATGGTTCTTTGAAAATGGCGTCACAGGTACACAGGGTGGCAAAGAAGGCATTTAGCACACTTGCCCTCATTGCTCAGACCCTTGGGTAAAGGAGTTGGAATGTCATGTTGTAGTTGTACAGTATATTTGTGAGGCCACTTTGGAGTACTGTGTACAGTTTTAGTCACCCTGCTATAAGAAGGATATTATCAAATTGGACAGAACGCAGAAAAGATTTACAAGGATATTACCGGGACTGGAGGGTTTCAGGTTATAAGGAGAAGCTGGCTAGGCTGGGACTTTTTTTTTACTGGAGCACAGGAGGCTGAGGGTGACTTTATAGAGGTTTATAAAAAAAAAAGTCATGAGAGGCATAGTTAAGGTGAAAAACAGAAGTCTTTTTCCTAGGGTAGGGGAGTTCAGAACTAGAGGGCGTATTTTTAAGATAAAAGGAGAAAGATTGAAAAGGGACCTAAGGGGCAACATTTTCACACAGAGTGGGGTTTGTATGTGGAACAAACTGCCAGAGGAAATGGTCGATGCAGGTACAGTTACAACATTTAAAAGACATTTGGACAGGTACATGAACAGGAAAGTTCTGGAGGAATATGGGCCAAATGCAGACAAATGGGACTAGTTCAGTTTGGAAACTTGGTCAGCGCAGACGAGTTGGACTGAAGCGTCTGTTTCTGTGCTGTATGACTCCCTATTTATGTCAAACTGAGAGCAAGGAAGAAACCCTCCGGAAGAGGAATCTTCACTCAGACATGTCCCTGCAAATACAGAGCAGCAGTAAGTCAGGTCAGTGTGCTCACTGAGCTGTGGGCTATGAAGTGATGTCTCTCAGTCCCCCAGTGCACCAGTCCCTCAGCTCATCTGCTGAGTTGTATAGTTCTTTTTTAACTCCACTCTGAGCTGTGATCTGTGATGAACTTGTGGCTGAGGTTGTCCTTTGGAGCAAAACATCCCATGTTGCTGCCCCTGGCTGCTCTCCAGTGAACCCACCCTCCCTGTGGCACTGGGCTAGATGCCCAGGTTAATATCCTGTCGGAAAAGAGTTCAAATCTCACCACAGCAGCCAGCATAATTTCAATTCCACTCATAATCTGGAATGGAAAGCTCATATCAGAGATAGCATCATGACAAATATCTAGGTTCACTAACGTCCCTTTAGGGCAAGAAATCTGCCATCCTTACCTGGTCCAGCCTATTTGTGACTCCAGACCCACAATAATGTGGCTGATTCTTAACTGCCCTCTCAAATGGTGTATTAAATAGTGGATGGGCAACCATCAATCCTTATCAACAAAACCCATATCAGGTGAAACAGTGGAAGTTACATGTGGATTGAATGAGAAAATATGTTGAAGAGCATTTAATTGGCTATGAAAGGGAAGGCAACCACCTAGTGGTATTATTATAGAATCATAGAATTCCCACAGTGTGGAACGAGGCTATTTGGCCCATCGAGTCCGCACCAACCCTCTGATCAGCATCCCACACAGATCAATCCCCCCCCCTATCCTGGTAACCCCACATTTAGTATGACTAATTCACATAGCCAACACATCCCTAGACTCAATGGGACAATTTCCCATGGCCAATCCACCTAATCTGCACATCTTTGGACCATGGGAGGAAACCGGAGCACCCAGTGGCAACCCTCGCAGACACGGGGAGAATGTGAAAACTCCACACAGTTACCCAAGGGTGAAATCAAATCCAGGTCCTTGACGCTGTGAGGCAGCAGTGCTAACCACTGAGCCACCGTGCTGTTTTAATAATATTAAAAGAAACAGCAAAGAATGGTCAAAATACTAATAAGAAGGGAACCATTACAGTATTTGAGAAGGCTAGACAGAAATATAAATACAGAGAGTAAGAGTTTTTATAAATATTTAAATAAAAAGTTGATAAAGTGAGCATTGCTACAGAAAGTGAGACTGAAGAATTAAAGGAAAATAAGGAAATGACAGATGAATTGAAATAGTTTTCTGCATCAGTCTTCATTATAGATGATATAAGTAGCGTTCCAGACTCAGCGATAAATCAAGAAATAGAAGGGAGGGAAGAACTCCGGAAAGTTGGAATCACCAGAGAAGCGGTACTGAATAATTTGTTGGAGCTGCGAGCTAACAAGTGCTCAGGTCCTGATCGACCTCATCCTAGGATCTTGAAACAAGTCGCTTATGACATATTTAATAGATTGGTTTAATTGCCCATTGATTCAGGGATAGTCCCAATAGATTAGAAGCTAGCAATTACAACTCTTTTGTTTAAAAAGGGAGGAAGACAGAAAGCAGGAAACTACAGGCCAGTTAGCCTTGTATTTGTCAGAGGGGAACTGCTATCAAAGAAGTTATGTCAAGACACAGATAAGTTCAAGGTTATCAGGCAGAGTTACTATGGTTCTGTAAAAGGGATATCATGTTTGACCAACCTATTGGAGTTCTTTGAGGTGGTAGTACTTGCCTTCAGGAAAGTTAAGTGCAAGAGGAACAGTGGATGTAATACACTCAACTTTCCAGAAGGTATCTGATAAGGTGCCACATCAAAGGTTATTGCAGAAGATAAAAGCTCACAGTGTAAGAGATGGCATATTGTTGTGGATAGAAGATTGACTGGCTCAAATGAAGCAGAGAATAAACATCTAAATGGCTCATATTTAGGTTGGTGAGATTTAACAAGTGGAGTGTACAGGGATCATTGCTGGGAGTTCAACAGTTTCCCATTTATGTAAATGATTTGGATGAAGGGCTAGAAGGAATAGTTGCTAAATTTGCTGATGACACAAAGATAGGTTGGAAAATAAGCTGTGAAAAGGACAAGAGGAGGCTACAAAAAAAGTTAGATAGGTTGATTGAGTAGGCAAAACTGTGGCAAATAGAGGTGTCATGTGGGAAAATATGAAACTGCATTTTGGCGGAAAAAATCGGAAAAGGCGTATCTAAATGGTGAGAGATTGCAGAACTTGGAGATGCAGAGGGGTCTGGGTGTTCTCATGAATCACAAGAGGTTACAATGTAGGTAGCAGTAAATAAGGAAAGCTAATAAATTGTTGTCATTTATTGCAAGGGGAATTCAACTCAAAGTAAGGAGGTTATGCTTCATTTATACAGTGACACTGTTAAACTCAAATCTGGAGTACTGTGCAGAGTACTGATCGTCTTATTTACGAAAGGATACAGATGCATTGGAGGCATTTCGCAGAAGGTTTACTAGATTAAAAACTGGAATGAGACAGCTGATTTATGAGGAAAGATTGGACAGGGTAGGCTTGTATCCACTGAAGTTCAGAAGAAATATTTTAATTGAAATGTTAAGATTCAAAGTCACCTTGACAGGGTGAATGTGGAAAGGATATTTCCTGTTGTGGGAAAATATAGAGCCAGGGCTTGTTGTTTAATTGGGTGGTATTATCACTGCAATGTTAATCCAGAGACCCAGGTTCAACTCCTGCCATGGCAGATGGTGGAATTTGAGTTCAATGAAAATCTGGAATTAAGAGTCTAATGATGACCATGAATCCATTGTTGATTGTTGGAAAAACCTATCTGGTTCATTAATGTCCCTTTACGAAACTAAATCTGCCACCCCTACCTGGTCTGACCTACTTGTGACTCCAGACCCATAGCAATATGGTTGACTGTTAACTGCCCTCTGGGATCACAGTTAATGGCAATAAATGCTGGCCTGGAAAGGCAAGTTATTGTCTGCTGTTCTTAAAACAAGGGCTAAGTGAACTGAGCTCTGCTCCACTCTCCCACCTCGCCATGAGGGGCCTGTAACCATAAAGCCACTGTCAGATTCATCTCAGTTGGCCGGATACATGTTTTGTTTGTAAGAGGAAGTTTGTTGTAACCTTTTCTCTGTCATTACAGCCCCCTGACAAACTAGATGACCTTCTCCTGCCCTATGACTCTCAATACATCCAGGACTTGTATGTCATCGGTACTCAGGAAGGAATCCCAGACAGGTAACAGGACCTCCACATCAGAAGCGAACCTGATCGCATTTCAGGCTGCCTCTCATTTCTACCTCCTCATACCACACCACCCCCTCCAAAAAAAGTTCTCCCCTCCCTATCCAATGTGCAGTGACCCTGGCAATGTTAGTTTTACTTAAGTACCCATTCTTCATATGTGACACCAGGTAGTGCTAATTGTTGGAGACACCAACACATGAAAACATTGAACTGAAGCACTGCCTGCATGTCAGTAGACATTAAAGATTCTACAGCTCCTATTTAGAGGGGCGGCTGCGCCTCTTTTCTCTGTGTCTGTCTCTATCTCTTCTTCTATCCCCCTCTCAATTTTACAACCATACGTGTACGCGCTGCAGCAGCAGTCACGTGATAGGGTCAACAAATCTGTTTGTTCCTCCGGTGCTGACCAGAACAATTCAACACCAGTCCATGGGGCCAGGGACTAGCTGTGACTCTGCTGTCATTGTGCTGGCTGAGGTCAGCAGCTTCAGCAGAGATTGCTGAGGCTGAATCAACCTCAGCTGGTAGGGCTCCCATTCTGCATCAACAGTAAACCTCACCAAGTCATGAACCTCAGCCACTGCTAGCGTTCAGCACTTTCAGTTTTTGAGCTTGTTTGTGCTGGGTTGTAGGGCTGCAACCTGACTGCTTGGTTTGTCCTTTTGTGTTTGTCCAGGAGAGAGTGGGAGATCTGTCTGCAGGAGACCCTGGGGCCTCACTTTGTGCTGCTATACTCTGCAATGCATGGAGTCCTCCATCTCTCTCTGTTCATCAGGAGAGACCTCATCTGGTTTTGCTCAGGTAAATGCTGCAGGATTGTTGGCCAGTGCCGTTAGCTGTACAATAAATGGAAATTGCACAGTTTGAACATTTACTGAATGTGTCTTGTGACCCTCCCTCAGAAGTAGAACAGGCAACAGTGACAACTCGTATTGTCTCCCAGATCAAGACAAAAGGAGCCGTAGCAATCTCATTCACATTTTTTGGGACGTCCTTCCTCTTTATTACTTCTCACTTCACCTGTAAGTTTTACCTGTGCATTTTACTGTATCTCTGTGTTTTCCAGAATCAGTTTCTGTTGATAGTGAGCTCGGACTGAGAGCCAGCCTCAGAAAGAAAGATAGAAGGAGCGAGAGTGGATAATCAGAACAAGGTGGCATGATGGTCATGTGTTTGAAGAAATTTTTTGAGAAGGGGTTAAGACAGGTAGATCATTGAGTCAGAGTTGATGCCCCCTGAGTTACTGCCTAACCAGAGAAACAGTGCCATTATATAGCACCTTGTACTAAGTCCTGAAGCACTTTACACCCATGCAATGAACCAGATCTCACTTAAAGGAAAAAAAGTAATTCTCTGTCCATCTTTTCAAAATCCTTTATCATCTTCAAACATTGTGTGAAATTTTGGCTGATGATGGTAATGAGCTGGTAATGATGGAAATGTGTATTATAGTATCTGCTGGGGTGTGAGGGCTGGGGATGGGTTACAGCAAACTGCCTCTCTCTCACTTCCATCTCTCATGCAGCTGGACAAGGGAAGGTTTATGAGAGGATGCTGGACTACAATAAAACAATAGAAGCCCTGGAACTTCCACGGGTTGTGCCTGACACCAACATCTACAAATCTGACCCCTGTGAGTAGCTACTGTTAAATGCCTGATGTTCTGCTGTTGTCTTGAGTGGGATATGAAAAAGGAATTTACCACCTTCAGGCGAGCCAGCCAACTCTGCCTCTCACTGGGGTGCGGCTCCCGCACACACTGACCCTCGCTGGGGTGCGGCTCCCGCACACACTGACTCTCACAGCAGTACAGCTCTTATTCCTTTTCCCATAAAAAATAGTCCATGTGGTGGGTTACTGCAAGAATGTTGGAACACAGGAAAACTTCCCTGCTTTTCTTGGAAGAGGGGCTATGGAAAATGTAAAGTCTCATGTGAAAATTAGAAATGGAGAACACTGTTAGTACTGCACAGCAGAGAACAAGCTATCAGTGAGCCAAATCTGATTCTCCCTCCAGCAGCTCCCCACACCTTAGACACAGGGAACAAGAAGTAGAAATGGCCATTTTTCTGACAAGCTTTTACTATGCATTTGCTGCAGATGATGTGACAACCCGATTTGATCAGGTTTTCTGGTTTGGTGACTTTAACTTCCGCCTGGATGTGAAGCGAGCAGTGATCGATGAGCTTCTACACAACAAGAACAAGGACAGTCTCCGCTCCATTCTGCATTATGATGAGCTAACCAAAAAGCTACAGGAGGGTAGGACTGATTCTGTGTACCTTACAGTTACTTGGGACTGGAGAGGGAGGTGAGGACCAGTTGCAGGAACAACTCTCACACACACTGACTCTCACTGGGGTATGGGGTCTGCGGTGACCCACTCTGTCCTGGAATTTGTTTGTCCTTTCAGTGTGGGAGTGAGGTGTTGAGTATACTTGTCTCCATGTTTTCTGTGGAGAATGGGGTGGGGGAAGGTTGGGAACCTTTCCACTGCTCACTCGTGTTTTTTTTTGTTCTTCAGGCTCGATTTTTAAAGGGTTCAAAGAAGCTGAAATAAGTTTTCTTCCAACCTACAAGTTTGACATTGGATGTGATGTTTATGACAGTAGTGCCAAACAGAGGACTCCTTCCTACACGGTAAGGAAGTGATGGAAAGTTTAATTCTGCAGGAATATCAGCCATTCAATACCTTCTGCTGCAGCTGCCTCCTCTTTGATCAGTCTTCATTTACCCAGAGCATTCTGAGGTTGATATCACCCATTAGGTGACACTGCAGTGGGGAGGCTACATTCGCTGGGACTGGTTTTACAGCAGAGAAAGTGAGGGGCATGTACAAGCAAATAATGTGATACGATTTCCAGTGACAGGTGGCTGCTAACTCGAGACTGAAGATATTTTGTAGAAGAACTGGGGGGGGTGGGGAAGATTCATGCAGTGAGTTGTTGTGATTTGGAATGCGTTGTCTGAGAGGGTGGTGGGAGCAGATACAACAGGAAATTTCCAAAGTGGGTACTGGATAAATCCTTTAGAAGTAGAAAAAGTTTCTGGAATGTGGGGGAACAGGAAACTTGCAGAGTCACTAATTGGATTGATCTCAAGGAATGGGACAGCAGGGCAGTGAAGTAAACAAAAAGGACAGATTCTTTACTGTTCCATCAATGACCTCCAAACATTAGAAAGTGGGACTGAAGAGTAGTCACTAACAAGAACCAATTCAGACTCAGCAAGCTTCCACACATAGCAATATGTTAATGACCAGGTAATCTGCTTTACTGATTGGAGGAAAACCTCCCTCACTGTTCTTCCAGGAGCACTGTGACATTTTTTTAAAGCAAAGTGCCCCTAAGTTGGATAAAGTCTCATCTGAAACACTTCACCTTCGATAGTTCAGTACTTGCTCCTTCCTGCTGTGGGAATGTTGGCTTGTGGTCACTTGATTGAACCTGATTTGAGCAGCAGCAAGGTGCTAGTTATGGACCTGCGAGCTGTATGGTTTGGTGCAGTTTCTGTGGGAAGCTTGTGACGCGGACATGGACCACTTAACCCTCTTCTCCTGCAGGACCGCATTATATACAAGAGCCGGCAGAAAGGGGACATATTCGTACTTAAATATGGGAGCTGCACTTCAATCAAAACCTCAGATCACAGGCCTGTCTATGCCTACTTTCAAGTGAGGTTGCGACCTGGAAGAGATAAGTGAGTGATTGCTTTTTATTTCCCTTTTCTGCCCTACTGGTGATGCCATTCGTGTGGGATTCTCCTGTGCTGCACCGACATGTCCTGGCACCAGAACAAGGGAGAGCTTCACAAGGTGTTCATGCTCTTCTGACATGCTTCCACCCTTCAGTGGTGTCCTGTCAGCATAGACTGTGAATCAGAAACTCAGACTGGTCATAGTGAGAGGACAGGTGGGACTAATTAGACATCAGATAATTGTGAATTAAATAAAAGGGGCTAATGGGTTGTTCATGTCAAATTTGTGTCTCTTTTGCTCCATCAGCATCCCACTGTGTGCCGGTCAGTTTTACAGAGATATCTACAAAGAGGGAATAAAAAGACGATTTATGAGGGAGCAGAAGAGACGAGCGTTCTGGAACCAGAGGAACAGCACCATCTGCAGTGTGTCCTGATAGAGCTGGACGTAAACGGGGAGCTTCCTTAACCAGCCCGGTTCCTGCATCAGTGGAGGTAGTGGGCAGAGAATCAGACTGCACACAGAGTGCTGATCACGAGAGCAAAGTTCCTGGCTCAGGATCCATGCCAAGATGTTTTTCAATAAAACTGTCTGTCAGGAAGGGTGCCACGTAACCCACTTATAAAGAGCAAGACTGTGCACGTAATCCCGCATTATTGTTGTTTTTGTTTCATAATTATGTTTTGACTTTCAGTATTTAGAAGACAGGTCATTTTCCAATGTTCATATTTTTTTAAAATGTGCTATCTCAATGTTGAGAAGCTTATGTCAAAATTATTTAAACCCTTGAAGAAACTGACTCTCACTGGGGTACGGGTCCAATGTATCGGTTTCTCACGTGAGCCTCAGTGGAGAATATCCCTGGAATATTGAACTCTTGGCATTGTCACAGCTTAGCAAGAGCATGTTCAGCCAAAACCTCCACACAGTTGCCAGACCATGACCAGCTAAAGAGCCTCTCTGCTGCAGCAGTGATGCCCAGTTTGGGTACCTGAATTATCAGTAATGAAGCATTTGATTGGTACTTTCAGCTGTATATCAGAGTGAGTGGAGCATACTGCTCACTCCAGCTGGAGGTTAGCCCACAATCAATTTTCCCTAAAAGCCTTGAACTGAATGATTAGTCTTTGTTACTCGCACACCTAGAAAAGACTGCTCTATTGATGATTGCACACTGACCTCAACAAACAGCTAGGATTTCAAACAGTTTTATTTGGATAGAGAAGTTTTAAATGGTATTGATGCTGTCAGAAACTCTTAACCAGAAAGGAGATTGTGGCAAATGTAAGTCAGTAGTTTGTGCTATGGGATTGCCCAAACTGTGAGCTGTCTGTCATGTTGTAGCTTCCTTGACTGGATAATGGCCACTGGGGAGATCAAACTCTGGCCATGTTAGACCATCAGGTGGCGAGAGGCCTGTAAGGGTCTCAGGGCACAGCCCATAGACCACCCCCCCCCCTGTTAAATCGGATTATTATTAAATGCAGCAACTCCCCCCCTCCTTCTTCCCGTTCTCTGTGCCCCCCCCCCCCCCCCCCCGCCCGCCCGCCCGCAACATAATCACAATCACAATCACCCTGGCTAGGGAACTTGGGGAGTTCACCCCAATCTGTGGGGTTCTAGCTTACAATTGGTATCTGAGAGGAGAGTGGAGATAGCTCCACCCAGGCACTGTGTCCAACAGCCCGGTCCAATCAGGGAGGCTGTGGCTGGAACAGGGTCTCAGTTACTCCCTCTCTGAAGCTACAATTGGTCAGGTTTCATACAGGACTCAAGTTACAAATCACTTGTGGCCCTCTTTCCAGGAGGGCCACACAATGGAGGTTTCTGTAACATCTGAACTTGTGGTTAATATAGAACACATTTTTATTTTGATTTCACTGACTTTTTGCAAGAAATAAATAATTTATAATAATTCTGGATGTTAACCACCACTGTTGATCTGAGCTGCAATGTGCAGTCATGTTCCCACTCTAGCTGCCTTCTCTTAGTTATAACACACTGTCTGTAAAAGGCAGGAACGTCTGTGATTAACAAGTGCAGAAACGGCTGGCATTCTTTAAAATTAATACATCATTATATGGGTATTACACATCTCCAATATGAAACAAAGTCCCAGGAGGGACATGGATTAAAGAAGAGGCCTTAGGCATTAGTACAATTAAAATTTATATAACTGGACAGAACGGTTTTGTGCATTAACACAGAATGATCACAGTCCAGGAGCTGGTGACTGTAGCAGCATCACAAATTAAAGACACGCGAATCATTTCAAAGCAGGTTTCATCTCACTATCTTGATATAATATCAAGTACATTAGACCACTTCTCACCCACACTGCGTTCTGCTCTTCTTCTGGTCTAGTTACACACAATTATTTCTCTCTCTGCTCACCATAAGCAGCTCACAGATACACAGTTACAAGATACCAGGACTTGAGGTGTAGTGTCTCTGTTCATCAGCTGGGGACCAGGAGAAGGCCCCACTCACCGGAACAGCCTGTAAATGCGGGGTAGACGACCGTCCTTGCTGGTCAGTGCGTGCTGAATGTGCTCATATGTTGGCAAATCGCTGAGGTCTCCTAGGGCTGCCACAGCCGGTTTGCTGCGTAACATTTTCGTTGTGACCCTCTTAATATCGTCTGCGCTTACCGCACCTGCAAACGCAAGGGGGTTTCCCCGTTAGATTGGTGAGCATGCCATCCTCACTGGGCTGTGACAGAGTCCCAGGAATATGGGAGCAGGAGAGATTTACTAGAACAGTTCCAGCAAGGAGGAGCTTCAGTGAATGTGGAGTGTCTGAAGAGGGTGAAACTGCTCTCCATCAAACAGAAAGGTTAAGTGGAGACTTAATTAAATGGAGATTTATAGAGTCATAAGAGTTATACAGCACAGAAACAGACCCTTCAGTCCAACTCATCCACACCGACTAGATATTCTAAACTGATCGAGTCCCATTTGGCCCATATCCTTCTAAACCCTTCCTATTCATATACACATCCAGATGCCTTTTATATGTTGTAATTGTACCAGCCTCCACCACTTCCTCTGGCAGGTCATTCCATACACACACCACCCTCTGTATAAAAAAACTTACTCCTCTTTGCCCTCTCACTTTAAACCTATGCCCTCTCCTTTTGGACTTTCCCCACTCTATCCATGCCCCTCATGATTTTATAAACCTCTATAAAGGTCACCCCTCAGCCTCTGATGCTCCAGAGGAAGAAGCCCCAGCCTATTCAACCTCTCCCTATAACTCAAACCCTCCAGTCCCAGCACCATCCTTACACATCTTTTCTGAATCCTCTCAAATTTAAGAGCATCCTTCCGATAGAACGGTGAACAGAATTGTATGCTGTGACCTTGTAAAAGTGGCCTCACCAATGTCCTGTACAACCACAACATGACATGCCAACTCCTAACTCAAATGTTCTGACCAGTGAAGGCAAGCATGCCAAATACCTTCTTCACCACCCTGTCTACCAGTGACTCCACTTTCAAGGAGCTGTGCACCTGCACCCCAGGTCTCTTTGTTCTGCAACACTCCCCAGGGCCCAACCATTAACTGTAAAAGTCCTGCCCTGATTTGCCTTTCCAAAATGCATTACCTCATATTTATCTAAATTAAACTGCTACGGAGTTTTGTTGGAGTAAATAAAGAGAAACTTTCCAGTGGCAGGACAGTTGGTAATAGGGGATAGCGGATTGAACAGAATCAGTAAAACAGTCCAAGAGGAGATGAGGAGGATTTATTTTGTGTAGTGTTGCTGTTGAATGTGCAAATTGAAAGGGCAGTGAAAGCAGATTCACCAGGAACTTTCAAAGGAGAATTGAATCAATACCTGAGGTGAGAAATTTTCAGGACTTAGAGGGAAAAGCACAGAAATTGAACAAATTAGAAATGTCTTTCAGAGATCCAGCACACCACAATGGACTGAGCAGTCTTTGGTGCTATAAGGTTGAAGGAGAGAGTGGCTCAGGCAGTGGATTAACTGGCATCTTAAAGACAGAATGAGCACAGTGCAGACAGACTCCTGTCTAATCTCTACTCACCAATCAGTGTGCAGAGCTCCTGAGGCAGTTTTCGGGTCCCTGTTGCAAGTACCTGCCGTCCAACATCCTCAAATATAACTGGACGTGACTCCAGGTTCATCATCAGCATCGACTTCAGCTGGGTCTTCGCTCGTTCCAGCTCCATCTGAGAACAAACAAACAGCAAATATCACTATGCAGCAAGAATACACACCCTCATTTCCCGTCGACACTATCCAATCACATACTCCCAGAACAACAGGGACAGCGCGGGGTTAGATACAGAGAAAAGCTCACTCTCTCTATCTAACACTCAGATTAGTAAAAGTCAGCTTGAGCTGTGGAACATTTAACAGTCAGGAGGGCAGATGTGGAACTGTCTCTCTCCAGAGAGACAATACCTTCTGCAGCAGCACAGCAGTATTGATCTGGATTAGATGCTGATGTTGCAACCGCGTGGATTAATGCAGGGATTGTCATAGCCACTGAGCTAGGGCTGGAAAGGCAAAGAGAATCCTGAAAGTAGCAGGAAGTCACTTTGCACCAAGGGCCCACCAGCACTTACAGTCACTCAGAATGGCCAGCAGTGTATATCACAATTCCTTGTGTCTGTCTGTCTCTATCTGTGCTGCCTATTTGACACAAGTATCGCACAAAATCTGCACTCACCTCTCCCACTGACCCGGTCATCATAATGAATTCCCGAGTGATAATCTCCACCATCTCCCTGACCTGTAACACCAGAGAAAACAATGGAGGTAAGTAGCTGAGCCAAAAATCACAGAGGACATAATAAAATGAAATGACAGGATCGGTTAGAGGGGTCAAATGATACAACGCAGCAGTCAGTTTATAAAAGGTAAGAGATGGAGCAGTACCTGTCGAGGATCAGCACTTGCATGTATACACAGGAGCCCAGTGTCCTCGTAGCTATGGTGATAGGCTGTGGCATTGTACATCCAGTGGTGTCTGAGGGTGGGTGGGTGGGGGGGGGGGGGGGGGGCGAACGTGGGGGCGGAGGAGCGGCGG